GGTACAGTTTGTCACCACGCGGAGTATGGCCTGATCCGCGGTAAAGAAGTTTCGGTATCAGCATAGTATAGCTCAGCAGACGAAAAACGCCGCCCAATTACACGGTAGGGAAAGGACAACGCCCCTCCTCGGACTTGACGAACAACCGACGAACTCCGCGTGGAAAGCTCGAGCGAACAGGCTGGGCTCAGTGCCAGCGAGCCCTCGTGATTGACGACGACCTGACGACCTAGGTTTTCGCTGAGACAAACCCGAGAAGCATCTCTCAGCGCTGGGCAAAAACCCAGCTCGTCACGTCGGGCCGCGATTATCGCCACGCGGCCACGAATGGACGTCCGAGATCGCCCACAAGTTGGCGGGGCCACCGAGGTCTGCCACGACAGCCACGACGAGCCCACGTGGCACCAGTTGAGACGGGGTGCTTTGCGTGGGAAATATTCGCGCCAGGTAAGTGCCAGGTCGGCGTGTACCACGCGGCTTCCATCCGACGGTTGCCCCGATGCCCAAGGCATCATCACAACCGTTCCCTACTAAGGCTAGGTGCAACGGATCTTCAGGCGCCGGGAATGTCGGCGTCGACCACACGAGCATCTTCGGGGTGCCACGCGTCAGTGCCAAAATCAGGACCACGCCACGTAGCGCACGCACGACCCAGCGTGTAACAGCCATGAAAATCGCCTCCTGGGCGACGCGCTTTTCGGAAACCAGCCATGCATGGCTGGTGGCACGTCGGACACGGCGCCGCCGCACGAGGGTTCATGCATAGCGGTGTCCTGCACAGGGAGTTGCGTGGAGAGCGGCTGGTGCGGAGTCGCCCATGACCATACCCATCCGGGGTCCCCGTGAAGGTCGCTCATTCTGCCTTCCACTCCAGGTTTGTTCCACCCGCTATCTGGCACTTAGTTTTTTTTCTACTCCCTTTCGCACTCCTCGCGTGCAGGACAGTCGCTCCGCCGACCAGACGTCGTAGTCGGCGTCGACACAGTGGCTAGAGAGACTGATAAGAGACGTCGCCGATACTTGTTTAGGAGACCGCCGAGTTTTAGGCACTTGCGAGAGAATCCGAGCGTGACGCCCGAGAAGCGCATCGGATAAACACCGCCAACGGGACTCACTACCGCCAGCATTGGGCCGCCGCGATCCACGTTCACTGTAGATCAAACGCCTGAAATCACATGGCCAACGTCGACATGACAGACGGTCCTTCCCCTGCGAGCCATGGGGGAGACGGCCGACCGGTGGAGTGTACAACGACCAGTAATCCATCGTCGACCCTGCCGCTGCTTTACGATCTCGACGCACTGTAACAAATCCCGGTAGGCGAGTTCACCAAGGACATTCCGCCTGCGCCCATAGGGGAATTTACGAAACCACGCAAATCGACGGCACCGACAAATGCTGGGGAGGCCGGGACGTCGTCGGTGCCGACGAATGCTGGGGAGGCCGGACCGTCGTTGATGCCGGACGGAGCGGGCGATCAGGATGAGGAAAGTGACGACGCCTCATCGTGCAGCGACGATGACGACGAAGACAACCCACGTCCTCGACGCGGCGCAGGTCCGCGCACGTTGGAAGAGAATCTCAGGGGGGAACGTGCGTTCATAGAGGACTTGTTGGACGAGGACGAGCTTGAGGACCTGTTAAACATGGCGGTGCCACGAGAACAGTGGAAGGCAGCCGACTTCGTCGAGGAAGATATGGTCTACCGTGCGTCGACGTACTCGTGATGGAGGCAATGCGCCACCTGAAAACCCTGGAGGCTAAGAGCACGCTCAAGCAGTACACCTCTTGGATTTACCACTACAAGAGGTGGGCGGCGAAGATGCTGAAGGAAATACGCGACAAGCTTCCGGGTGAGGAAAGAACGAGGCACGTCGACAAAATCGGGCACTGGATCCACTGCAACAAGAGCAAGGATTGGGACAACGAGAAGGTGGTCAAACGGAAGTACATCTGGCTGCACGGCCCGCGTGTCACTGAGACGCGATTGCGCGCCTACATCAAGTTCTTAAGGCGGGAGTACAAGATCAACGCCGAGACGAACGCGCCGGTGAAATCGAACACGGTGCACATGATCCTCGGCCGCATCAAGGCCTGCCAGATGGCGGCGAGGGTGGAGGCGACTCTCTATAAGGAGAAGGAGTTGGGCATCATGCGGGAAATCTCGGTGGTCTGGTCGGAGGTGCGGGTCATGGTCCGCACAAAAAATCAGAACGACGTCAGGTAAGTTGGCATACACACCCGAGCTCTGTCTCCTTTGATTTGTGGTCGACGACGCAAGACACATCTCTTCTTATTGCTTCGTCGACAGGAACTGCGCGGACCGTCGACGCGGCACCATCGGCGACACATACACCGCCGAACAGTTCCGCCAGATCATGATGAGGGTGCTGCCAACCTGGGCGGCGTTGGCGTGGAACCCGCGGGCAACCACTCCTTCGAAGACGCTGTGGAGGTTTCTTCTCGTGAAGGTGCTAACGCTACTCTCCCACCATAGTCTCCTGCGCGGGGCCAGCTTCCGCGAAATCACACTCCCCGACATCTTCTTGTACCGACTGGCTAGCACCTCGTCGGTGAACCCGGAAAACCAGCCGGTCGTCATGGTGATCGCCGCGCGGAACTCGAAGACGTCCAAGGATGCGCGTCTTCAGCAGAGCTACGTGGCGCGGCACCTCGAAGCGGAGTTGTACGCCGTCGGCGAGACCGGCCTGTGGCTGCACTTCATCCTCGACCAGATCCGTCAGTTTCACGGCGTCGACCTCATCCCGCCGGTGGACACCAGCACGCACGAGCGCTGGTACAAGAAGCACCTGTTCTTCGCCCGCAACGACGAGGAGCAAATGGAACTCCCTGCTGCCAACCACCAGCGATGGACGAGGCAGATGTGGAAGACGAACGGTGTGTTCTGCAAGCGGAATGTCCACGCCGCTCGAGCAGGCGGGGCGCAGGAGCTGGCCATCGATGGTACGTCTCGCGCCGAGATAGCCGAGCTGGGTCACTGGGCGATCGACAAGATGACTCGAGCTTACATCACCGCCATTCCCGTCGGCGTGGTGATGAAGAAGGCCGTCTATTCGGGTGCCAAACAGGACTACTTCTTGGGTCGCAGCAGGGTGGAACCCGGCGACGAACTCTTGGCGCTCATCGCCGAGCACATCTTCCCGGGCGTTGACGACCTGGTTAAGAAGGTATTTTAATCAACGCCGCCTACGTTACGACCTAGGGTTAGACCTTCGTTACGCCGCCTGCTTTAGGGTTTAGACCTAGTATCGTTCGACTGGCCAACTGTAATCACCCGCTTCTGTTGTCAAATTGCAGGCCTGAAGAACTTGCGAAAATGGGGTCCGGGGCCGACTTTGCCGTCGTGCATTTCTGGCGCACCCTCCAGATCATACGCCACATTGTCGCCGAAGACCTCGCTGTGAAACTCGTCCGCACCCCTTGGCATCCGTACGTCCAATATTCCAAGCTCTGCAGGATTCCCCTCTTCCAGCACTGGGCGAAGAGGGTCGAGAAGCTCGACACCGAGACAATAAAAAAGCGCCGAGACCCGACCCTCATTCAGCCTGAGGTGAGCCATTGATCAAGTCGACGTCGCTTTAAGCCTATTGAACGCAACACCCCCTCACATTCTACGTCAATTGCCGACCATTGCAGGAGATATCTGTCCGCTTGGACGCCGAACTCGCGGTCATGTCGCTCACCGAGACACTCAAGTACGAGAGGGAAAGGTCGGCGGTCCAGAAGATAGACCTCGAAGAGGATATCGAGAAGCGCGACACGATCATCGCGACGCTGACGGCAGAGATAACCCGCCTCACCGAGGCACTCCGCATCTCAGAAGCAAGGAGGATGCCAGAGGCGCCGCCAGCTGCGAACGAGCAGTCGCCGAGGGACGGTGGCTCCGCGTACTCGGCAAGCACGGGTTCCGGAGCCAAGAAACCCCCGAAACCCCCACAGACGGTCGAAGAGGCTAGTTACGAGCTCAATGTGGTGCAGCCTTGGCGGGATGCAACGACCGTGAGGGATGCATGGCACCTCTGGACCTCTTGCACCAGCGCCGACACCCGTCGTCTATGCGACAGGTTCGCAGAGCCGGGGTTCGTCGACCGCCATACCCTCCTCAAAGGCGCGACGCAGGGAGCACTCGAGAAGAGGGTGCGCCGCATGATGGAGGTCATTGATGCAGTGCGCCATCTTCGCCGGAGCCACGGCGAGGCCGACACAGAAGACGTCGTCGCAGCGCTTAACAAGATAGCGGCGCCTGGCATTGGGACCTTCTCGGATACCCTCACGGTGCTCAACGCTGACGCCGTAGCGATGTACTCCCAGCCGGGTAAGGGCGTCAAGGGGCTCGGCAAGAGGGAAGTTTCCAAGCTTCGTGTCGCCTGTGCGTTCCTGGCTCGCGGGCTGAAGCCGGAACAGTGGGTCGCCGACCTGTTCCAGGACACCTGGAAGGAGCAGATGAAGATGACGTTGGCCGACATGGCCCGGGAGGACGCTGGGCAGCTGCCTCCGACCAAGACGTCGACCAAGCGCAAGAAGACCGCGTAAATGCTGTCGGCAACATGTTACTGTGGGATGTTACTGTGGGGTTTTGCATGTTTTGCATGTTGTCGACTTAAATGACCGTTTTGACATTGCTTAAACAACCACATGTAGCATGATTGTGAGCTTCTCACATTGCAACCGAGCGGCGTCGCCCACACAACACGTACGGCCTACACCGAAATGCATTTGGACACCGACATATGAACATGACGCCACGCAAAAGTTGGTTGGCAAAAGGCCGGGGTGCATGGACGCATAGTGTTCTGGCTCATCTAGTTGTTGAATGGTTCGTCTCACATCCTACGTAAAGTCGACAATCACGCATACAAAAAAACAACTACACTAGCATCAAAGAGATCCAACAGAGGAAATTCAAAACAAAACGACATCGACAAAAACAGCACTGAATCCTAGGAAGCAGACCACCTATCACTCCAGCCGAACGCCGACTACGCTGCCGTGCTGTCCTTGCCCTTCCTCCCCTTCTTCCCCGTGCCGTCCTTGCCCTTCTTCCCCTTCGTCCCCTGCTTCCCCCTCTGACCCTTCCTCCCCCTGTTGTCAAGATCGGCCTTCATCTGCGCGACACACGGCACCGCAATACTCCTCTTTTTGAGCTTCGGGCCGGCGACGGGGCACATTCCCCAGAAAGCCATGGTCTCCACCGTCGCTCTAGCGACCACCTCGGCATCGACTCCCGCATCGCCCCCCGGATAGACCCTCTGCAGGGCGAGACTCTGCAGCGCTGGCGCGACGTTGAAGGCGACCTCCCCCAGGGGGCGGTCCCGGGTGATCTCGGCGTTCAGCACCGCCGCCATGTCAGTTTCGAATACTTTGGCGGTCTCGTTGCTCGCACCGGCTATAAGCGCAGCCGCCTTCCCTTCTTCCACAGCATCGGCCACCTTGGTGTCGTCGTTCTCGACGAAGCACCAGACGGCGCATGCGGATGCCGCTAACGCCCATGCCGCCATCGCCGTCTTCTCCTCCTCGTCTCCCTCCTTCTTTGACGCGCTCGCAGCGGTCTTCCCGTACGCAACGCACATGGACACGCGACCTATCATGGCCGACATCATCGCCGCCGACTTCTCCTCTGGCACCCCCTCGACGGGGAACCACATCGCCGGCCAGAGCGCGCCGTGGAGCGCATCGCCTGAGCTCTTGCACTCGTGATACATGTCGAGGATATCATTGAGCCTGTCACGCAAGCACATCAAACAGAACGAACATAAGTGACAACGACATTATCCATCTATCGACTTGGGGCCGAAGGGTATCCGACTTACCATGTCTTTGGAAGGAGCACACCCCGGTCCCACATCGCCGTCCACATCCCTGTCGGCAAGATCTTGACCTCCTCCCACACCTTCCCCCACCTCTCCAGCTCGGCAGTGTCCAAGCCGGTGAGCTCATCCATGAGCACCTTGCTCACGAAACCGTCGTAGACGACGAACGCGATGGAGTGCACATACGCGAGCTCCATCTTCTCGCGCGACTTGCCGATGTACCGATTAATGCCGTGCACCTTAATCTCGCCAACCCACCCTTGCCCATCGCCCGAGCTGTCGTGACGGATGCCATGACCCCTCCTCTCTTTCTCCTCCGCCTTCTCCTTCCCTTTTCCCGTCGCCTTCACCTCCGACTTCTCCCGTGTTTTCCTCTGAGAGCCCGCCTTCCCCTTCTGCTTCGCCTTTCCCTCGCCGACAGCATCATCGGTTGTTTTACGATCTGCCGAACCACCGGCGGGACTCGTCGGCTGCTCCGCATGTGCTGTGTCCGAAATGGCCAGTGTCCGGGGTTTGGCTGCATCCAGTTGGGCATGTATGGCGGCGATATCCGCGTCGGGGGCGACCTCCTCAATTGGGCTGCCGCCTGTGGCAAGCGCGGCACGCACACCCTTCTCCGCCACTTTCTCGACATCAGCCGCCACGGGAGTGGGTGCTGCGACATTCCCCGATGTCGGCGTCGCGCTAGAGCCAACTTCCTGCTGAGTTGGCACAGTCGACCCTCGTGTGCGCAGCAAAGCGGACTTAGGGTTTGCAGGAGTACGGGCGGCGACGGCCGGCGCTACACGTGGCACACTGGCAGATGGCTCGGCGACAGGGGGGGGAGGCTGTTGAGCAGCCCTGTGGCCCGCAAGGAGCCTGAGCTGGTCCTTGAGTGCGTTCGCAGCGGCCGCCCCTTTCCACGCGCGGCTATCCTTGTCGGCAGGCGGGACGTCGGCTGACGCGCTGGTCGGATGACGTGCACCCGCGGGAGGCTGTTTAGGAACCGCTTTCGCCTCCGCTATCTTGGCATTCGGCCCGTTGCCAGTTTTGGCGGCAACGACTGGGGCCGTTTTGGCGGCGGGGGTTTCCTTGTCGCTCAACCCCTTCCCTCCGCTCCCCTGAGCTCGTGGCTTCTCGGCGACCAAAGTCGGAGCACTTGGCACGGCGCCGTTCTAGTCGGCGGGACCCCCAGCTGCACTCCCTTCTCCATGGCCCGTGCTGGGCGATCCCACAGTAGCCCAGTGCCTCTTCAGGATGTCGACCACGGTCTTAGGTTGCTTTGCCGAGCTGTCTCCAGTTCCAGTGTCCCCAGCTCCCTTGCTGCCTTCGCCGGGGATGCGGGACCCACCAGCTCCCTTGCTACCTTCGTCGGCCACGCGGGACCCACCAGCTCCCTTGCTACGCTTCACGCTCGTGGCGTCTTCTCCGTCTCCCCCGCCTCCGCCGCCCCCTCTCTTCTGACCATGCTTCTGGGCCTCCTTTGGATGCGGTTGGCCGGCGTCGTTCACCGACGGCGACGACCCACGCCGAGCAGGCGCCACCGTGCTGACCACCTCGGTCATTATCTTCAATCCGGAGGCAAGAAACGACTGCTGCGTCGCCTCCGTCACCGCCTTCAGCACCTCCTCCTTGAAGGACTTCATTAACTCTTCCGGCAAGGCCTGCGCTGGGGCGATAGGCGGCGGCGGCTGCTGCACAACGAGGCTGGGAGCGACGGCGACTGCAATGTTCGTCTGCGCGGCGCCGATGTATTTAATGACTGTCTCCTCCAAAAACTTCCTCGCCTCACCCACCTCATTCGTCACGTGCTCGGCCAATGCGTTCACCTGGGTCGCGCGTTCGACCGCCATTCTTCCGTTGGGGTCGTCAAGATCCCGCAGAATCTTGGCTGCAAGTTCGGCAAAGGACTTGCCAGCTTCAACTGCGCTGGCCATGTTGTCGGTGAGGTTGTCGGTGATGGTCGTCGCCATGGTCGGCGTGGCGTCTTCGAGGCGCTTCGCCAAGTTCCGGTCGGTGTCGGCTACCTGAGCGGTCAAAGCCTTGAGCTTGTCGAGGACCCCAGCTAACGCCGACGCCAAGCTGTCGACCCGTCCCGTCTGTTCACCGAGCCGCCGTTCCAGTCGTGCATTGTCGAACCGCAGTCACCTGTTCTCCGCTCGCAGCTGCTCGACGACGTCCAGCCGCGCCTGCCGACCAGCTGCGGTGGAACCGGGGTGACCGCTCGCCGCCTTCTTCTTCCTAGACCGCTCCCCCCCGTGAGTCACTTCCACGCCCGTCTGCTTCGTGGCCGCGGCGTTATCCCCTTCTCCTACGGCCTCGAGGTCTACACCTTCCTTCCAATCGCCAACCACGACATTCCCACTCCCCCCATGAGCCGCCTCCACGCCGACCTCCTCTTTCTCCTTTTCGAGATCTGCTGACATCGCACCCTTCCCCTCCCCTTCCTCGTTCTCAACGTCCGCCAACCTTTCACCCGTTTCCGCCGCTCCAGCAGCTACAACCTCCTCCTGTTCTTCCTCTTCTTCCACCTCCAACTCCACCTTTTCCTCCTGCTCCCCCTCTAGCTGCTTCTCCTGCTCCTGCTCCTTGTGCTCCACCTCCTCCTGCTTCTCCTGCTCCTCTTCCTCCTCCTCCCCTTCCGACTCCGACTCCGACTCCGACTCCAAACGACCCTCCTCATGATCCTCCTCCGAGCCCCCCTCCTCCTTACGATCCTCATCACGATCCTCGTCCTGGTGCTTTTCCTCGGTACCAGTTACCCCCTTTCCAGCCTCCGCATCATCCCCGTCGACGCCGCCTCCCGGCTTTCCTATCGTGGTCCCACGCGCATCAGCGACGGTGCGGGCGACACCGATTGGTTGGAATGCCGAATGGACCTCCTCGCCGTCGTCGTCACAGGCGTCGGCAGCAACTCCGACATGGCCCGCCCGTTTGCGCGCTACTAGCTTCTTGATCCATGCCACCATATCAGTCCGCAGCTTCTTCAACCCCGAAACGTAGACCTTGTCCATGCTGGTGGCACTGCGTCGAAGGCCGCCGGTCAGGAGATCCATCCGCCTCACAGCCCAGAGCAACGCGCTCATTGCTAGCAGACCGGAGCCAGCGTCCCCGTCCCGGACGGCGTTGGGCACTTTCTGCAAACAACAGTGCAGAGAGCGAGGATGAGCACTGCGGTCGGCAGCATAGGATGGCAAAATCGTTCGGAACTCACATCTCGCAGGGGGTGATCGCAGTCGGCGAGCCTCTCCTGCACCTCTTCTTCGGACGGCTTCGCCCACTCCCATTTCCTACCATCGCGCCGCAGCTCGGCCATAACCGCCTCCCGGAAAAACCTGCATACGCATGGCACAGACGGTGGGTAAGCATGGGGCACGCTCCGCTGGGAGTTTGCATGCGACGACGACTACACTGTCGAGCTCACTTCAGCACGCGGATCGCCTCGTCGCGGTGCCATTCCTTCACTGTCTGCGGGTCGGCATGCCGGATCGATGTCCTGATCTTCTGCCCCGATGCCTTCAACAAATCGCGACGCTGCAATGTGATCCTGGGAGCGGTGCGATGCGGCACAGGCAAGGCATGTCGACGTCGCTCAGAACAGGTCACCGACATAGGTTGCAGTACACACCAGGGCGACCCCGAACCAGCTCACCTCGAGAACAGTTGGATAACCGCTACGTCGGCGTCGAAAACAGTCGCAAAGCATGTGTGGTCGCCCTGACCCATCGCTGCCCGAAGCCGGCTGACTCCTATCGACCACAATCGCTCGTCGGCCGACGTCGCGCGCATACATGCGTGCCTGCACGTATGCATAGTACGAAGAAGTGAGCGACAGGGTGCACGGCACGACGGTGGATCACCCTCGCGGCGGTGTAATGAAGAGAGCCAAACGACTATGGCACAACCCAGCGCCGACGCCGACCTAACACCGTACGTCGACGTCAACGACGTGGTCGACATGAACCCTAAACTCGTCGACCTAAACGACGGGTCGCATGGAACCCCTAAGCTCGACCAGCATGGAAGCCGGTGGAAGACGCCGACATCCACTTACTTGAGGCTGACTCCCAAGCAGCGGGTGTTAAACTCTAGGCTATGGTTTGTGAGAACGGTGTAGTCGTGTTCCTCGAACTTGGCAGTGAGTCCTCTACCGATGTTAAGATACAGGGGGAAGTCCTGCAAGGTCGGCGCCGCTTCGGCGGCGTTCGGGTCGACCGCCATGGCGGGAAAGCGAGGATGCTACAGGCTAAGGGAAGAAACGGTGGGTGTATGGAAGGCGCAGAGCTGGGAAAAAAGACGAAAGAGAAACGAGAAGGCGAAAATGAGGGGTGAGACCACATCCCACAAAGAAAAGCGAGGCGGAGCCTCGCAGGCCCGGTTGAGCATCGTCCCAAGGTGTCGTTGTGCCTGGCTCGGCAGGGCTCACGCACATGTGGCGTGGTACAAGTGCACTTCGCCGCCGAGCCAGCAGGTCGACGTCACGTCCCCAAGCCTCCGTCGGCCAGGGGGCGCAAATTCGCATGCGCGAATTCGGTGCGACGTTTCGGCCGACACGTGTCGATTTCGCAGCGGGTCGCGAAAACATTGCGCCGCGATGCGTGCGAAGTCGAATGTCGCTCGAATTTCGGTGGTTACGAAATGTCGCATGCATTCGATGCGAATTCACGGGCGCACACGTGGCGCCACCGCAACGGGTCGCGAAATTGTCGAGCATCCCGATGGGAGCACCCGAGTTTCGCATGGACCTCGCTTGCCCGTCCGGGCAGGTCGCGAGGGTCACTAGGACTTCGCGGGCAGCGGGGACGGGAGGGTTGCCTTCGCGCGAGGGTAACTTTCCCTCGCGCGAGGGGGTCGCCACATCGCCGCCCCCACACGGTAACATGGGGCGCTGCTCACTCTCGGGGAGGGGTTGCGGAGCGGCGGTCGTGCGCCCGGCCCAGCCCTGGGCCAGGCTGGCGGGCCCGCACGCGCGTCAGTTGCCCGCCTCGTCACGCCCGGCTCCGACGACCCCCTCTGACGACCCAGGCAAATCGGCTCCGACGGCCGAATTGCGCTGGGATGTTCAGGGTATTCTACACCCTACCCTGACACCGTCAGGCTAACCATAAATCCAATCTGTGTAAAAAAAAACATGCTCTTTTTGCAGAAGGGTAACTATCGTGAAATCCTGATTTTGGCAGGGTAATCTTGAAAAAGCGGCCGGCCCCCAGGGTAATCAGGGCGTTTTACCCTGATATTTTGGGCCCTGCACCAGAGCCGCAGAAGCGATAAAAATTACAAATGTCACCGCTAAGAGAAATGGTGACCACCGCCGCCGCCAAGTCACGTACTAATTAGGGGATTACGTACTGCTCGACACACACAATTTAAGACTGCTCGTCATACCAAAACTTCAACCGCAATACTGTGGACCGTTCCAAATCAGCCACATGATCACCCCGGTTAGCGCCCATTCACTGTCGCCGATAGACTGGTACATCGACCCATCGTTCCGCGTCAGCCTACTTCGCCCTTACATCCTAACAAGCCAACTGCCTTGTCACTGCTGCCATCCATGACTCGCCCTGCATCGGAGCCGATCGCTGAGCCCGAGAAGGTTTTGAGCCATCAGATCCGACACCCCACAGGCATCATGAGGATTGCGTTCCTCGTTCGCTGGAAGGATCGCACGCCAACTTAGGATAGCTGGGTGCCCCTGGCCAACATCAAAAACCACCCTACCTTGCAAGTGTACTTGAGGAGCCGGGGTTTCCGCGATATACACGCCCTCGCGTAGCGGAGGGGGCTTCTTGAGGGGGGGGGGGAGGGGGGGGGGGGGGGGGGGGGGGGTAGTGTAAGAAATTTTCTCGACATTCCTTACCGCGACCATGAACATCGCGTACAGCAGCAGCCGTTGTTCGCCCGTTACTACTATCAGTGCTTCACCAACTTTGCGTGCACTGTTTCACCGAACCATGCACCGCTGGCCCGGCCGAGTCGGCCTATGCTTCGGGACTAGCCCGAACCTCGATGCTAGCCTAGCACTAGCTAGCTCGCATGCACCACATTAACGTTTGCATGTTTTGCATATAAGTATTCGCTCATGCCTTCTGTAAGGAAAATTCCTTTTCCTTACTTCGCATCCCTGCTCAACGCGTACATCACTGTAGCACCACAGTCAGCACCGTTACCACTCGCAACCCTCGCATCGACAATCCGCCCGCCACCTTCGCACATCGCACCCCGACCTCACGGCTCGGCGGGTAACCCGCGCTCCGGGCCTCCGCTTCGACACTTTTTCCCAACCTCAGTCCCAGGCCCGTCGCGCGACAACCACAGTCCATTACCGTTACCACTGTAGTTTCGCTATATATTCTTCGCTCATGCCTTCGCTCATTTGGACTCTTGCTTCGATAGTGCAATTCTCGTTCGTTCACTCAATTGCACTCGTAACACCTGGTATTCAGAGCCTACGATCTCCTCTCGGACCGCACCCACACCTTCGCTTCCCCACTATCTCAATTTTTTGGGGGGGGTAGACGTCTCTCAGCGACACAGCACCGCCGCTCGTAGTGCTCTCTCGTAAGCACGCACGGCCACGACCGAGGCTCTTGCTGAGCTCGCCCGACACCCCCGCCATGGCCGAATTCACGCTCGCCACATTGACGCAGGAGCAGCTCGACCGTCTGGTGCGCCAACTTGAAGATTCGGCGCTCGAAATTGCGACGCTCACGGCAGAACGTGACTCCGCGCGTCAGCAATCAACGATGAACACTCCAGCGCCACCACACGCACCGACAAATGCATCTGCACAATCAGACGAGCCGATCGTCATCTCGTCCGGCACACCAACACAAAACAACAGCGTGGGACAGCGCTCAGGCGCAGCCAGCGATGGCGCCGCCCAGCCGATGCCTGGCATGGGAGGAAACAGGGTCGCACCAAGCCCGCGGGAGCCTCGCGAAGCCCGACGACACGTGGAGTTCGCGGCGACAAGTGGCGAACAGACCATTATGGCACCAATGCCACTCAAGCCGCAACGCCCGCCCTGCTTCGACCCGAGCCAGCGTGGAGGTCCGACGGTTCAATCGTGGGTCTTCACGATGAACGTCTTCTTCGACGCGAATTACGTCGAGTCGGATGCAGCGAAGATTCGGTATGCCGTTTCGCTGCTAAGGGGCCCCGCCATGGACTGGTGGCGAGTCATCGTGACGTCGCCACGCGCCTACGAGCCACCGTCGCAAGAGGAAGGGCCCACGGGCCCAGCTGTCACCTGGAGTTCATTCTGCGAGACCGCCCAATACAGCACGTGGGATGCGTGGTGCGCAGGGCTTCGGGCGCGCTTCGAGCCGATCGCGGCTTCTATTTCGGCGCGTCAGAGATTGCGCACTTGGCGGCAGCTTGGATCGGTTCAAGACTATACGAGTGGTTTTCTCGCATTATGCGAGCAAGTCGGCTACATGCACGAAGCGGAGCGGGTGGACCGTTACGTCGGAGGGCTGAAGCCGGACATCTCGCACGAAATCATGCTACGCGGGCTCTCGAACTTCAACGAGATTCTCGCGCTCGCCGAGAAAATTGACATTTTACGCCGTCCGAGACCGGGGTCCTACTATGGACATCGTCCTCGGGGACCGATCGAGCACGCCACTGTACACGCTGTTGCGACGAATGCAGCTGCCGCGCCGTTTAAGGGGCGCTGCTTTGCTTGCAACAGGCCGGGCCATCGCAAGAGCGAATGCCCAGAGGAGCTAAGGCGCCGCGGAGCAGAGCAGGGGAGGGAGTCTCCAAAGCAGGGAAACGCCAGCAGTCAGTAGGAATCGGGCCAACTACTAACGAGACTGCCTGCTCGCCCAACCCCACCGACCCTCACCGAGTCACAGTACCGATTCATGCTATCGATCGGACTCGGACGAATAAGGAGGGTACAGCGACGGATTGCCCAGTACTTATCCACGGGAAAATACAGGGAGCAGCAGTGAAGATTTTTTTCGACGGAGGAGCAAGCCACAGTTTAGTTAATACCGCAACCGCACGAAAACTGCAGCTGACACTTAGCCGTTGCTTACCGGAGATAGACGCACGCTTAGTCGACGGCACGCCACTGGCCATACGGGAAAAGGTAGAGAGAGTCAAAGTCCGCTGCGGGGGAAATTTCGGGTTTACACAGGAAATGCTCGCAACGACACTGGATGGGCACGATATTTTACTGGGACGTGATTGGCTGCGACGGTATAACCCGCGAATTGACTGGACGACGGGTAGCTGCACCGTGCGAAGTAGTGGTAACTGGGTCGAGCTACCTCGCTGGCAGTCGCCCGAGTCTTCAACGGTACACGTCAACGCCATCACAATGAAACGGGCTGTCGCTGCTGGAGCTGACGTGTACGCAGTAGACATCGCAGTAGTAGAGGAAGCAGAGCAGCCGAGTGATTTCAAGAAACTGCTGGCAGCCGTACCGCCCGAATTACAGGAACTGTTGAAACGATACCCCGGGATTTTCCCCGACGACTTACCGGAAGGGCTGCCACCTCAACGAGCACATGACCACCGAATCGAATTAGAACCGGGGGCACAGCCAACCGTACAGCGCCAGTTCAGACTGACACAGCCCGAGCTCGACGAACTAAGGAAGCAGTTAGATTACCTGTTAGAGAAAAAATTCATCAGACCGAGCTCGTCACCGTTCGCTGCACCGATACTATTCACGCCGAAAAAAGACGGGGGTTTTCGCATGTGTATCGACTACAGAGCACTGAACAGGGTAACAGTCAAGTCGCGGTACCCCATTCCCCGCGCCGACGGACTGATCGACCAACTGCGAACAGCACGGGTTTTTTCGAAAATAGATTTACGGGGAGGTTACCATCAGATTAGGGTCGAACCATCGGACTACGCCAAAACAGCTTTCAGGACTAGGTACGGGTCGTTCGAGTACACTGTGATGCCATTCGGGCTGACCAACGCACCGGCGACTTTTCAGATGACCATGAACGAGGCATTTAGGCCGCTCTTAGATAAATGTGTAATAGTTTACCTCGACGACATCCTAGTGTACAGTCGGGATAAGCAGCAGCACTTAGCAGATCTGGAAGCAGTGTTTAAGGTTTTAGACGAGCACAGATTACTGACCAAGGGTTCCAAGTGCGAGTTCTTCCAGGATAGGTTAGAATTTTTGGGGCACGTTATTTCGGAGGCTGGAGTTGAAATCGACCCAAAGAAGCTGGATACGGTACAAGCGTGGCATCCCCCGACGAACATCACGGAGCTGCAGAGCTTTTTAGGGTTCGTTAATTATGTGCGTCGGTTCGTCCCCGATATGGCACGGTTAACTGCCCCACTGACGGACTTACTGCGGAAGGGGGTCGCTTTTACGTGGGGGGGGAAAGAGCATGCTGCCTTCTCTGCCCTGAAAAATGTTCTCTGTTCCCCGCCCGTCCTACGCATCGCGGACCCACACCGCCCATTCGAAGTAGTTACCGACGCAAGCGATATCGCCATCGGAGCCGTACTGCTATAGGATTTTGGCAATGGCCTACAGCCTATCGCATACGAGTCACGAAAACTGCATCCGCCCGAGAAAAATTACCCGATACACGACCGCGAAATGCTTGCGATCGTGCACGCGTTCAAAGTATGGCGCTGTTACTTGACTGGCGCGAACGTGACAGTACGGACAGACCATAAATCACTACAGTACCTTCGCGCACAGCCACACCTCAACCCACGACAGATTCGCTGGCTCGATTTCCTCGAGTCCAACTTTCACTACACGGTCACTTACAAAAAGGGAGCCTCGAACATCGCCGACGCACTGACCCGCCCCACTGCCCAGATCCACGCAATACTACTCGCCCAGACAAGCCCGCTACTGACAGGCCTATTCACCCACGGGTACCAAACGGATCCATTCTTCACAGGAGGACATTCGCAGCAGTTCGCAGCAGCAAAGGGAGTCTATTACGTAAAAACCGGGACTGACCGCATTTGGGTGCCTGGGTATACACTGCTACGGGAATTACTGTTACAGGAGGCACACGACGGAGTTACCTCGGGGCATTTCGGAGTAGAAAAAACACGGCAGCAGCTGCAACGGTATTATTACTGGCCCGAAATGTTGACCGACGTACAACGACACGTGGCATCGTGTCCCACTTGTCAGCTCATAAAATCATCACGACAGCGGCCGGCGGGACAGTTGCAGCCAATACCACCCCCAGAGCGTGCTTGGCAGCAGGTGACGATGGACTTCGTCACGGGGTTACCAGCTGGGGCGAGTGGGAAACGACGCGATCCTGGTCGTCGTCGATCGACTGACGAAAATGGCACATTTCGCAGCCTGCAAAAAATCAATCACAGCCGAAGAAACAGCACGCCTCTTCATCTCCACCGTCGTTCGACTGCACGGGATACCAGCCGCGATCATCAGCGACCGCGACACGAAATTCACCAGCAACTTCTGGCGGAACCTGTGGCAGCAGTTCGGCACACGACTGCAGTTCAGTTCATCATACCACCCCGAAACCGACGGACAGACAGAACGGACAAATCAGACCATGGAACAGCTCATCAGGGCCACGTGTGACGACCCGACCACGTGGGAACAGCAACTGCCACTAATCGAATTCGCGTACAACAACTCGCCATCCGCCACGACCCAACAGTCACCATTTTACCTAAACTACGGACAAGACCCGACAGTACCCATGACCCCGAATCCCGACAACCCAGTACCACGAGCACAACAGTTCGCCGAAATATTACAAGCAGCACGGACCCGGGCAGTAGACGCAATAAAAAAATCGAACATCATCGCTAAACGCAACGCCGACCGCCACCGCAGACCCGTCACTTACCAGCCCGACGACTTAGTTTTACTTGACACTCAGAACCTCCGACTGCCCGTCACCCCGAAACTCCGCCCCCGATACTGCGGGCCATTTCGCATAAGCCACATGCTTACACCCGTCACCGCCCACCTCCTCCTCCCTGCTGACTGGTACGTCAGCCCCTCATTCCACGTCAGCCTACTTCGCCCTTACGTCCCGTCCACGAGCCAACTGCCACGCAATCGCCCGGCCAGCATGACAAGACCACCAACTGAACCAATCATCACCCCCGAGAAAATCCTGAGTCACAGAGTTCGCGACCCTCGAAGAGCCCGAAGGATCGAGTTCTTACTCCGCTGGAAGGACCGTACACCCACCGAAGACAATTGGGTTCCCCTGGACAGAATCGAAAACCACACCGTCCTCACCGAGTATCTGCGCAGCCGAAATTTCAGGGATGTACACGCACTTTCGTAAGGAGGACCTCCTTAGGGGGGGGGGGTAGTGTAAGGAAAATTCCTTTTCCTTACTTCGCATCCCTGCTCAACGCGTACATCACTGTAGCACCACAGTCAGCACCGTTACCTCTCGCAACCCTCGCATCGACAATCCGCCCGCCACCTTCGCACATCGCACCCCGACCTCACGGCTCGGCGGGTAACCCGCGCTCCGGGCCTCCGCTTCGACACTTTTTCCCAACCTCAGTCCCAGGCCCGTCGCGCGACAACCACAGTCCATTACCGTTACCACTGTAGTTTCGCTATATATTCTTCGCTCATGCCTTCGCTCATTTGGACTCTTGCTTCGATAGTGCAATTCTCGTTCGTTCACTCAATTGCACTCATAACACCTTCTCTCATACGTTGTACTCGTTTGACACCTAGTGCAATCCTCGCTATCTCGTTCCATTACACCCGTAAGAGATGCACACAAATCAGTGTCACTATGGCTGGGCGAGCTCTATAAACAGACGGGCATCGTACACAGGTCAGGGCGTACATTTCCAGTTCATGCTTCGTGGCTCAGGACTGTTTTACACGGTGGAAAGCGGTTTCCGGGGTTTAGACATACGACCTGACCACGCCGTTAGGCGCCGGCCTGTCGGGGCGCGCTGAGCTGATCCCTATGACTTCTGGAAGTGTGCTCAACTGGTGAACACTTGAACACTTTCAGCTTGCACCAAAGCAATTTGGTGTCCAAGCCTGCGGCCCTTCGATGTAGCGAGGAGAGGGTAACCATTTTTGTGTGCAATTTTTTCGCTGCGTTTGGTCATTCGCAGCGATGGAGCGTGGCCGTCGTGAGCGACCGGCGCCGATCGCCGTCGTGCCCGTTATTCTCGTTATTGCGTGCATGGCAAGACAAATACGAGCAGCAGCGAACGACCCTAGGGAAGCAGCAGCGGGTGCAGCAGCGGCAGGGGCGGAACTAGGAGCGGAAGCGACACGGAAGCTACCACTGGCGGAAGAATGCGCGGGCGGAGCCGGAGCAATGACGCGCGCACTTGGGAGAGCGGGCACCGGCGCGGATACCGCACGCAATGGATCCCCGCTTAGCGAGGGATGGGGGGACATGAACGCGGGCGAGGGTACGCGGTACCCGGTGGAGCCGCGGAGGGGCGTTGTGACGCGCGGGGGAAGGCAAGCGGGGCGCGGCGGAAAGCAAGCGGGGCGCGGGGGAAGGCGCGCGGGGCGTATCCTCCTGCATGAGATGGAGGAAGGCGGGGCGGTGGTGGGGCGCGTGGCGGCCCTGGAAGACGAGCTCAATGTCGCCGCGGGGGGAGCCGTGGGGGGGCCAGCGGTGGCGGGGGGAGCCGTGGCGGGGCCAGCGGTGGCGGGGGGAGCCGTGGCGGGGGAAGTGGTGGCGGGGGGGGAACAAGCGTCGCAGCAACCCGCGTTGCAGGCTGCTGCGCCAGCCGCACAAGGCACTAGTGAGAATGGAAGCGTGGCAGGTGCTGGCGCGGCCGTGGAATCAGTGGGAGGAGGGGAGAGAGGGGGTGAGCGAGGAGAGGCGGGAGACGGCTGGAAAGGGGATGAAGGAAGAATGGAGGGGGGTGGGACTGACAGAGGGAGTGCTGCTGCTGCTGCTGGGACCATCAAGCTTGACTGGTACGGCCATTGTGAGCATCACGGGCATCACGGGCTTCAACCCCACTTCTCTCACGACTCTCTGGAAACGCTGTTGTAATTTCTGGGTTTTCCGGCCCTTATGCTTGCCAGCATTCTCATTCCAACACTCTCCCCTTCGACCCACGCAATTCCTGTCACACAAGAAACTCACAAACCACTCTTAAATCCTTCACAAGCCACTCTCAAACCACTCCCCAGTACCGTTCCAACCATCCCCTCTCTCTTCCCCTCTCGCCCCCGCAGGACCCGCCCCCTGACCATGAAGCAGAGGGTAGAATCAGACCAGCGCAAGGTGGACAGGGGGGTGTGCAGGGGTACAGTGCGGTACGACAACCAGTACAGCAAGGGGCACATGGCATGGATACCGCTCCCGGGGCGATACGTGCTCATGGATTGCCATCGCAACCAGGTGGGTCAAGTCAAGCAAGGGCACTGCATGGCCTATGGCCAATGCCGTATGGGTTACTGGCCATCGCCAAGTGCGTACGGGCTATGGAATAAGGTCTAGGTACTTGGATCTAGGGTCTCTAGGGTCTAGGATAACGGGTTAGGGGAGTGGGCTGGGCTAGGGGCTGTGTTACCCTTGCGTGCACTCTTTCTCCATGCAACCCCCACCACACCACCGCCTCCTGCTGCCTCCCAAATTCCTCGCCAGGCTCTCTCGCTCTCGCTCTTGCCTTCTCTTCCTTCCCTTACCCCCCATCGATGACATTCGAAATATCAATGTGCCCTTCCGCTAGTTCATCCATTCAGACATCTGTTCACCAAGGCCATTCGGACCCACCGCATTCATGCATTTAAACAACCCCCGCTTCAGGGCCCCCTCTCAAACCAGTCCCCCAGGCCTTTCTCTTGCTGCTCTCTGTCTCTTCCCCCACGCGTGGGACTCTGGCCCCCGTGTGGCATGGCATGGCAGCTAAGAGCAACATGTGCGGTGCATCCGCTATTGCCCCGGGCATTACACTTGCCGCTCTCTGCCTCTCTCCCCCGCGCACACCCGTCGCAGTTGCCATCCCATCCCTGGTGTGCCCATCCCCTGCCCTCCCATCTTGATGTTCCAGCTGAGCAATCGGGTGCGGTGCATCCGCAACTACCTCACGCTCTCAGGCTACCTCAACCGCACGCTCGTCGTGCCGCTGCATGCCGCAGACGCCAGTACCGGCGGCAAGACCGGCAGCAGCAGCAGCACGGCGCCTGTTGCTGACTCGCACGGCAACAGGTTGAGCTACGACCGGCGTGTTTTCTTCGACGTAGCGCACGCGCAGCTGTGCTTCGGACCCACCACCGTCATGACTCCACTGCAGGTGCTGCACTTGCAGGGGGACGACGGCACTCTCGGCACGGGTGCTGCCGGCGTCCCTGATGCTGCGGATTGGACCAGTGCTGCTGGTGGGGCCGACGCTGCTGGTTCCGCCACAGCAAGTGCTCTGGACGGGAACACAGGCAGCTCTGGCGTTACAGCGGCTGCTGCGCCTGCGCCTACGGCACCTACCAGAGATGCCGAGGCAGCAGGTGCAGCTGGGGGGTTGTTGAGCAGCCAAGCCACAGGGGTCGATGGCTCCACGCTGCATGATGCCCTGCGTGTGGACCAGGTAGTGTGTCTCACAGGCCCGTGCTACAACCAGCAGGGCATGGGCGAACCAGACCACCTGCCAGACCTGGCCCATATCACCTTCTCCCCCACACTCACCTGGACTTATGCCAATCTCTCCGCCAGCCATCCGATTAACAGCACCGATGCTGCTTACATCGACTCGCTCCTCCTCCCCTCCTCTCCCTCCTCTCCCGCCCCCTCCCTCGCCTCATCTTATATGGTGACCTTTGGCGATTTGGGATCAACGATGATGGATGTGTCTAGGAGTCCCCAGGGAGAGTACATGAACGGTCTAGATGTTCCCTTCTTCAGCCTGCAGGGGTGCAACAATCGCCTAGCCATTCAGCCACATCCCGCTGTGCTTGCTGCTGCAGACGCGTTTGTGAGGAGCGTTGTGCTGGGAGGAAGAGCGAGGGAGTGGGAGGGTGCTTCTGGGGATAACAGCAGCGACAGCTCAGTCGTAAATAGCAGCACCAGCAGCGGCAGTGGGAGTGGGAGTGGGAGTGAGAGTGGGCGGTACATGGCAGTGCACTGGAGGCGCGGCGATATGATGAGTCAGTACAAGAAGGCGGGGCATGTGAGTGCGCAGCAGGCGGGGCTGTGTGTAGCGCACAAGATGCAGCGCTCCTACAACACCACTGCCCTCTTTCTTGCCACAGACGCCAGTGCTGATGAGGTGAGTCAGGGTGACTGACTAATGAGTCGACTCGAAAGGCATGTGATTGCGCAGCAGACGGGGCTGGGCTGTATGTGGCGCACAAGATGCAACGCTCCTACAATACAACACCACTGCCCAGTTGACTTTTGAGTCGACTCAAAAGTTCCTCGCCACAGGCGCTGATACCAACGAGGTGAGAGTCAGGGCGTCCCACGAGGTGTGACTATTTAGTTGACGTGGAAGGCATGTGACTGCACACTGCACAGCAGGCGGGGCTGTGTGGGGCACACAAGATGAGCGGCGATCCCACAACTCTCCAGCAACACCACTGCTCTGTTTCTTTGCCACTGACGCCAGTACTGACGAGGTGAGCCGGCCGATGGGGTGGGGGGATGTGAGCAGGTGGGCAGGCGTGGAGGGGATGGGAGGAGTTGAGGTGGGCGAGCTGTGGGGAGGTAATGGAAGGAGGGTGGGATCTTTTTTTTTCTTTCTCACCCTGACTGTGATTGTGGTGCGAGAGTGCATAGCATGTGCTGCATCATGTGCATTCCTGTTTGCAACAAGTTGGAATTTCACTTTAGTTGACACCACCGGCCGACGCTAGCTTGCAAGCAGTCGTTCCAGTATGGTAATGCTTCTTCGTTTCCACTTCTTTTGCCTGCTTCGACTGGTCCCACAAACCCATTCATCAATCGCTTTTTCTCCGCTCCTCTACACTTTCCATGCTCTCTCTTGCACTCAAACCCTCCTCATCTCCGCGTTTCTTTCTCAAACCCCTCTCTTCTGTTCTGCTCGCCTTCCACCACTGCTAGATCTCTGAGTTGGAACAATCCATCCGATCAGTCATCCCAGGCCTGCAGTTGTTCCATCTGCCTCAAGATTTCACAGCACAGGCATGGGCAGACATGCTCCTGCCCTTCCATTTCGAGCACTTGACCACAGTCAGGGCGACACTAGACAAGGCCGTATGCGCTATGGCTGATGTGTTTCTCGGGACAAAAATATCCTCTTTTTCACAGGACATTTTCAGGATTAGGTCGGGTCTCCGCTTCAATGCATGCGATGATTCCACAGTTTGTGCTGATGAGACGAGCTATAAAACATGAATAAATTGCCCATTTCGGGCTGTGATGTACGGTATGACTAGTACCTATGACTAGGAAAGTTTTTCCATCGCCGGCCCTGATCTGATCGCAACAGTTGAAAACAAACGGAGGAGAGCATACCGTGGATCTGGTTTAGGGCATGGCAAAGCCTCATAGAAAACAATGTTATCCACATCGCAAGGACTACCGTATGTTATCCTTCTTCCAATGTCACATCCGCACATCCTCTCCACTTCCTCCCCTTGTCCTTCGTCCCCACGTGCTCAGTCTTTCCCATCTTCCCCCACACAACATGCACTTGTTTCCCACAAAACCCCACCTCCACCACCCCTTCCTCCGACACCCCACTACCATACACATCCACCTGCCTCAGAGCCCTCGCCTCTCTGAGCGACTCCGGCAGTGACTTGAGCACCACACACTCCCTCAACTGAAGCACTTCTAAGCGCAGCAGCAGGCCTAGGGTGGGCGGGAGGGAGTGCAGCTGCTAGCAATGGCTGAAGCAGGCCACTCGGAGTGCAGGCAGGGAGGATAAGGAGCCAGGAAGGTGCGTGAATGAGCCGCAGTCGGCAATTTTGAGGCGGGTTAGGCGGGGCAACAGGCCAAAGGTCTCAGGAAGGGAGGAGAATTTCGGGCAGTCAGATATGCTGAGGAATGTCAGGGCGGGCAGGGAGGAAAAAGAATCGGGCAGATGGTGGAACTTCTTGCAAGAGTCGACAGAGAGGCGCTGCAGGGAGCATAGCGAGCCGAAGCCAGCAGGCAGGGTGGTGAGATCATCACAGTAAGTGAGGGTGAGTGTGAGCAGGCGAGGGAGGAGGCAGAAGGAGGGAGGCAGGCTGAAGTCGTAAGAGCAAAAAACCAAGGAGACCTCCTCAAGGGAAGACAAGCCGGCCAGAGTGTCAGGAAGAAAATCATTTGATCCACCATCAATGCTCAGCTTCTTCAGAGCTCTCAAGTGGCCAAACCCCGGGGGTAGAGTTTCCAGACGGCGGCACCAGTAAACAGTCAGCTCTTCCAGGCGAGACAGCTTCGAAATCGCCCCAGGCAGGTGCTCTAGGTTTCCGGTATCGAGGAACAGGCGGCGAAGGGAGGTCAGGGTCACAGAGGGACTGCGGAATCCCGTCTATCGAGTAGCAGCCACTCAGCTCCAGCCATTCCAAGGCTGCCAGCTGGCCCAGATCTTCCGGAAGCGACACGCGGGTGTGGATATCGCTGTCGCACTCTATGCGCAGCGTGCGGAGGGCGCGCAGGGGGGCAAAGCCAGGCAGGGGGGAGGGAAGGTGTATGTTGTGGAGGCGGAGGTGTGTGAGAGAGGTGAGGTCCGTGAGGAAGGGAAGGGAGCGCGCGGTCGTAAGAGACGGACATATTGTACTTGCTGTAGTGTAGCTTCAGCGATCGCAGGCACAGGGCGAGGCGGGAGAGAGATTGCGGGAGGCCGAGCCAGTTGCCACGCAGGGAGAGCGAGCGCAGGTTGGTGAGATGGCCTAGGTCGGAGGGCAGGGAGACGGAGGAGTAGAGGCCGTCAATGGAGAGGTGCGTGAGGGAGAGCAGCGAGCACAGATGCGGAGAGATCGTGCCTCTTCTCCAGCCGTCCCCGAAGCTGGCCACACGGAAGCTGAGATGCTCCAGACACGGGCCAAGTGACGAGTGGTTGTGGTAGGCCGTTTCTCCACCACCTGTTGCTGCAAGTGCAGCTGCTGCGGCTACGGGTGTGGCTGTGGATGCTGCGGCGCCGGTAGCAGAAGAATCAGTCCGTGCTGTGTGTGCCAAGTCGTCAGCTTCCACCCACAGGACGTACCCCACCTTCACGTATGCCAGCGACGGCAGTGCGAAGAGCGCTTCAGGAAAGCGCTCCTCATACATGTCGCTTGACACCTCGAGCCGCTCCAAAGATACGAGCGCGCTTAGCGGCTCGAGGGACACGATGGATTCGACACTCCCGATGGTTAGATGGCGCAATGCGGTTGCAAAGGGCAGGTTGGGTGGGAGCGACTTGAGCTTCAAGCAGGCGCCGATGGTGAGATGCGTGAGGGAGTGCACGGACGCGAGCTGGAAAGCGCCCATGTTGGCGCACGAATCCAGGGCTACGTGTTCGAGATTCGCCCATTTCTCGCATGCGTCTGGGAATGCGCCGGTGAAGTTTCGCAGCTCCAGTCGCCGCATCTGCTGCAGCGCGCCGACGCGAGGCGGGAAGCGATCGACCTGCCACGAGCCGTCGACGTGGAGAGAGGTGAGCGAGGCGAGATCGCCGAGCGAATCCGGCAGGCGCCGCATTTCCTTGCAATTCGTAAACGAAAGGTGCTCCAGGCTCTTTAGCCGGCCGAAGTTTTCGGGCAGCTGCTGCAGCAACGGGCAGCTCAGGTAAAGTTCTTGCAAGGCAGACAGCTGGCACATCTCGTCGGGCAGCGAGCGGAGAACCTTGGAGCACAGGCGGAACACGCGCAGCGACGACAGCGACGCGACTGTAGCAGGAAGCTTCGTCGTGTGGCCGAGACACTCGCGCAGCGAGAGCTCTTGCAGGCGCGACGAGGCGACGCGGAAGAAATTCTCGAGAAATTTTGTGCCGATTCGAAAGTGGGAAGTTCCGGTGAAACGGGGAGGGGCGATGCTGAGGCGGGACAGGTGAGGGCGCGCGGAGAGCAGGCGAGACAGGAACTCGTCGTCGTAGAAATCGACGGCGTTCGCCTCCAGAGAAAGCGCCGTGACTCTCGGCGCGAGCGCCAGCGTGCGGAGTATCGCCGGCGCGGAGATGGCGGGAGCGGAAAGCGTCATGGCGCGCAGCTCGGAACCCTGGAGTTCGGGGGATTGTGACTTAAAGCCGCCACGGACGCGGAGGGTCGTCATGAGCAGCATCCATCGCTTACAAACGACCGCGAGGTTACTAAAATCGGGGCCATCCGTAAAGTTCAGTTTGCCAGTCCGGCCAGCACCATCCTCTGCGTCAACTTCTGCTGTCAGTCCTGCGGGGTTGGCGGCAGTGGCAAGCGAGATAATTCTGGATAGAATCTCGTCCGGCAGATGGTTGATAGACGTGGCTCGCGCCCTGTTGGCCATTGATGGGGAAAGCTGCTCACACCGCGTTCTCGTTTCACGAGGTAAAGACATTCTTAGTGGCTGCGAACGCGTCACCGCTTCGAACGAGTTCTACTTCCACGAATTAGTATATAAAAAAAAAAAATTGGCCGCCACTGCAACGTTTCCAACGGTATCGCTGAGGCAATACGGACCATTGTATGAGAATGAGAGTCCAGTAAACGAATCCAGTAGAGTCTAGAGGTAGCGTTCAACTAAGGGCATTTATCTTAGCGGTAACATTTATCCTAGTGTCACACTCTCTTCTCAGCTGCGTGGTGGAAGCGAAACATACCATGGTCCCATACGGATTGACAGACCACTGGTTCGCTGTGGCGATGTCGCTCAAGTCGGCTTCGTCGGAAGAGAACGGCCCGGGCTTGTGGAGATTGCAGGCCCCCCAGGCCAGCGGTGATGGAGCCAGGAATATAATCTCGGCGGTCTTGGACGCGCAGGAGAGTCGAGCTGATCAGGGTTTGGAGCGGTTGCTTGCGAATCTGCGAGCAGCCATGAGGGCACATGTGGCGGAGGAGAGAAAGCGGATAAGGGCGACGATTGTTCATCTGGAGAGGAAAGTGGAAAACCTACGCTGGAGGGTGATGGCTGATCCGTCAGCGCAGGATGTATATGAGGAACTGGTGAAAAACGAGGTAGCGCTGAAACTATACCATGACAGCAACAGGGAGAGGCTGCAGGTCATGACGGGTGTGTCAGAATGTTATGTTTGTCTAGCCTGCAGTGGGGTACTCAATAGTGAGTACAGCCCAATTTAGGGTTTGCTATATGTACTCAACTACTTGCTAGTGCAACCATCACTTCTCTCATCATTCCCATTCTTCACATGATATAGAGCTGTCTCGATCCTTGGGCCCACCACTGAATTTTTTTTCCTACCCGAGGCGCGCGTCGCGCCTGCCCTTAACGGCCCTTAGCGGCCCCTCGTAAGGCCCTTCGCGGCCCTTCGTTAGGCCCCCTTCGCGGCCCCTCGTAAGGCCCCTTCGCGGCCCCTCGTAAGGCCCCTTCGCGGCCCCTCGTAAGGCCCCTT